CAGTATAAGATACATTATTACCAGCTCTTCTTGACGCATTCCTTATGCCCTACAAGAGCATCAGATTTACTGACTTTTGTAATATTTAATATCTCAAGTTAAAAGTTACCAAACAATATTTTAATGAGCTATTATAAACCTATTATGACATATAAATTAAATAAGATTAAAAACCACTGTTGACCTATACACACAGTAGGTGGATATGTGGGCAATGATTTGTTTAATGCAATGAACAGAACCAAACCTATTTTTGGCATCTGAATATTATGTTTTTGTGTCACAGTGTTGCCATATTTTTTTGTAAATGTATATGAATGTTTAAACTATAAAGTTACTTTTACGAGATTAAATTTGTGTTTGTGATTAAATAAGTATAAAACAGCATTCATAAATATTTTTCTTTTACTTTAAATGCAGTTAAACATTGTAAGTTTAATGAAACCTTAAAAGGGAAATTGCAAGACTTCAACAGATAGGCAGCAGATGATAATTTCTAAATCTTTTTTGAACAGATGTACCTGCATTTATTAGTCCTTTCAGTGTACTTTCTAAGTGCAGCGGAAGTGTGTGATAACAAAATAATTGTCATGGTTACTTTTATTGTTCTGCCAGGGAGCAAATTAACTATTAATACAGGAGGAGTTTTGGAATATTGGACTTCTTACTATTTCATTTACTAATGTATATATTATAGAGTGGTGTGCATTACGATATTTAATTAAAAATAGTATAGTGTGCAACACATGCAATATAAGCAAGACATTTGTGAAACGCAATGGCTGCAGAGACGAATATATCTGTGGCTTGGAGCTAAAAGGGCCAATATCAAAATGTTCATATTTCAGAAAATCGCAGTTGAAGTTTTGGTGAAAAATATTTTTAATTACAGCTTAACCGGCGAACAACATTTATGTACCAGATTTGACTCAATGTATAATATTTTTGAGCAGAATATGATAGTGTTTTTTGTTTTTTTCTAAATTCAAAAGTCTTAGCAAAAAAATGACTTTGGCCCTTATTGCATAAATGTATGACGTGTTTGTTTCATTGTGTATGACATTGGCCATCCCAACAAAAAAAGTAACAATAAGAATAACAGCATAATTTTAATAATTTATTATGGAGTTACAAAGTTCATTGTAATTCAATGTAAGAAAATTAAAACTAGTAGTAAGAAACTAAAATTGTATCCAAAAATAAAAAAAATATAATTTTTGTTATCAAAAAATATCGGCAATACTACTTCTATTATTCTGATACATTCTCCTCTTCTTGAGGTTCATCTGGAAAGTATTCCACTATTTTATTGTCATCTGCAGTTATTTGTTCAATGAAATTATTGTAATATGTTCGATTTGTATTAGCTATGTACGGTAAAAGTGCCTTTAAGTCTCTTAGTTTTTCTCTGCTTAAACGAAGTGGTTCGTTGTTAAGTGGTAGAAGTGTAGGAAGATGATCACACTGCCTTGTTTTCGTGTGACTTCTGGATATATCCAACGTTTTGAACTCACCATCAAACGAGTGTTTATACAAGATAGCTAGGGTGTCGGTTGAATATTGCATCCATTTAATTTGCAACCACTGAACTGGTTCGTTTAGAGTGTTCTTTTTACGATGCACATAATGAGTATTTAAACATGATTTAAAAACTCCTTTTGTTCCAATTCTATTACTTGTATAGGTGGTTTTCTTGGCACCAAACGTATCAAGTTTGCCCAATCTCGAGGCAATTCAATATCCGCAGTAGTACGTTTTTTTGTTTTTTCTATTGCGGCATGAATGCTGTCTGCCTCCATATGAGTATGACCACTCTCAAGAAATTTGTGGTTAATAGTCAAGTTTTTACCTTTAGCTTTCAATTCAGAAACAGTTTGCAGTAACATTGTAGCGAAAAATATATTGCGGTTTTGTCCTCCGCAAGAATCGCTGTACATAGTTACTGTATGAATATTATTATTTTCTTCTGTGAGTTTATGCAGGTAATGGTAAATACAGGAACCAATTTCTTGTCCACCTCTGCCAGCCACTGTTTCATTCCAAACGTAACATATGGAAGATGATTGTTTTCCCATGGTTTGATAGATAGTGAGGTTAAACGTCCACAGTTGGCGTTTATAAAAACTCAAACCACTTCTGAGGTAGGGAGTAGGCAAGCATTTTTGTAAATCGAAGGAAATGGTAACGTAACCTGAATTACTGCATTCTTCTTTATCTCTTCGTTTTGACTCGTAGGCGGACTCAGCTAACTGTAAATGGACTGTTTTTTCTTCTTCGATTGACGTTCGTATTGTCTCACTGTTACAACATTTTAACTGCATCTCAAACTTGTCGCATTTTGCACACGTATCATTTTTAGGCTTATGAAAAGAGAGGTTGAATTCCTCAACAAATACTTTTCTATACATCCAGGCATTTTGCGGTTGAATATTTCTGTCTTTACAATAATTGACATACAGTCGGTACATTTCAGCAATAGATAGGTCGGATGACAAGTACTTCTTGTGCGTATGGGAGCGCGAGTAGTGACTTTGGTAAGCCGGGAATTGGTTTATGTGTTCTCTTATCAAGAGTTTATCATTTTCTGGAACCTTAGATTGCTTTCCATGTTTTCCACGTCCATCTTCCGGACATAAACCTCCGGTAGACCGTTTCTTTTCAACAACTACTCGCGCTTTCTTCAAACTTATGTCAAATGTATTTAAAAACATGTTTTGACACACTTCAATTTTCTTACCACTGTTTTGTGATAAAAAATATTTTCTAGTAAACTTTCGCCTACTTTGATTACCATCATTACGTCTTAATCGTTGGAGCTTCTTTTCCTCTTCTTCTATGGAATTTGCTATTAACTGGTTTTGTCCAGAGCTACACAACTGATAAAATCCAGTGAAAAGTCTTTGTTGTTCCTCCTGGGTAAATTTTTCACTGCACTTTTTTTTGCATATGCAGGCTGCCTTCAGCTGCTTAGCAGGTATTGTTTTGTTTCCACAGACTGACGTGTACGCTCTACCTTGAGTTTTCAACGATTTTCTTACATTTCTTATCCACTTTGAAGGATTCCGCTTTCGTTTCCTTGTAGCTTCATCTAGTATTTCTTTCTTTCTTCCTCTGCGTGATTGATTTTCAGCAGGACCACTCAATTGTGGATTGTTATCTACTACAGTTATTTTGTTAACATCTTCAAACTGCCCTACTTGGTTTTCGTCAGTGTCATTATCAGAATCTGTTGGTACATATTCATCACCACTATCTTCAAACGGTTCTGGATCACTTAAATCTATATTTCCTATGATTTCATTATCTCTGACTGAGGTCGACTCTGTAAGAAAACGATGAAGGTTAGTAATATAAGTAATATTCAAATGTAATTTTGGTACAACAAATTACTTAAGTAAAATTAACACCGGTCGTATTATTAGCCACGCCACAAAATGTAACCTCAAAATCGCGAGTATTACATTTTAGTGTAATGTTTTAAATTTATCTTATCACTTACCATTACTGTAATCGTCAGTGTTACACATTTTTAAAATCTTTCTTGTCCGTAGATTAACATTCATTTTTTCTTAAAATTCAACTTAAAAATTGAAATTACAATGTACAACTTCTCAACGTGACAATGGCACTACTGATAATGACAGCCGACAACACTGCGGATGCTAAAATGCAGTTATCTCTATCCTTTCACACTACCTAGAAAGACCAATGTAGACAATCGCCAACTGTTTATTTCACAAAATAATAATACTAAAAGGGCCAAAGTTTACTTTGGCCCTTTTAGCTTAACGTTATGTGAATTCATTCATCTTAATAATAATACTAAAAGGGCCAAAGTTTACTTTGGCCCTTTTAGCTTAACGTGATGTGAATTCATTCATCTTGACATTGGCCACCATTAAACTTATGGATCGGGTATTGGTTGAAATTGACATTGGCCGTTTTAACATATGAAAGTTGTAATAAAAGAAAATCGAATGGCATGGTGTACTCAAAATAGCAAAATCTTGACATTGGCCCTTTTAGCTCCAAGCCACAGATATGTGGAAATGTAGAGAATGCTTAACATCATAATCTATAATCAGCAGGGAAATCCTATTAGGTACCACCTATGTTACTATGGTTGACTGATGTAATTTCTACCATGAAGTTTGCAGTAGATATTTGGAGGAGCATCCTGTGGAACCAGGAGGATTTGATGAAAATGAAGAACCCCTCACTGTAGATGTTGATGAATCCTACTTCTTCCACAGGAAGTACCATAGAGGTGTCTACAGGAAAGGGCAATGGAGTTTTGGTGCAATAGAAAGGAACATTGAAAAAATGTTACACTGGTTCCAGCACGAAATGACGAGACTTTGTTGTCCATTATATCAAGGTATGTTAATTTTAAAAATATTTAGCCATATAATACAGTAATATTCATTTTAGAAGAAGTCTACCTGGTATGGTAATTGTTACTGATGGATGGGGACATTGGTCTCCTGGATGGAGGAGTGTGAGCATCGAACTGTTATTCATCAGAATCACTTCGTAAACCCAGATGATAACAGTGCTCATAGACAAGCCATAGAAAATGTTTGGATGCTTGACAAGACGAGGTCTACAATGCAGAACTTCCAGAGGGTTTATATCCATCATACCTCCAAGAATTTATGTGGAGGAACCGTATTAAACATAAAGACCAATTTGTGGAGGTCTTAATTTGTGTTTCAGAATAATATTTAGTTTAAAACCTGTGGTTCTCTAGCTAACCATATTAGTATAATTCTGGTACTAGGTTATTGGATCAATTAAAAGAAAGTCATTATTTTTGTTTAACAAAATTAAGCAAGCATGAACATTTCGAAAAACATTTGATACTGAATTGCAAAAACTGCTCTTCTAGTTAAAGTTTAAAATTTTTTATGATTTTTAGCAGAACTACATAATCTCATGTTTTATCGTTTCGCCAAATATCAACTAACTAAATTATGTACGTAAATTATAGTAATAAATACCTTGCATGTCCCATATGCGAAGCATCATACACAGTGGGGCCACAGCTGTACCAATTAACCTTCTTACCAGAACGGGGGACAAATACCTCCTTTTGTCTTGTTAAACTATTATAAACTTTTAATACTGGTTGGGGATCAGTATTAGAAACATTCCAAGAGGGTTGCACTCGTTTAGCCATTGTATCTTCTAACTTTAAATATGTTCAAATTGTTACACGTTGCGCCGGTTCGCTCAAAAATGAAGGTATGACTGAAATTAATTGTAGAACTATTTATCATATAGGTTATCTGATTTTAAACGTGTGAAAAAAATCAGCATACCTTATCTTTCATTCAAAAATTTATAGGGATTTCCTCTAAAGCTGACGACATAACCAAAAACGTCACATCACTATCGTCATCATTATAGTTTTTGGTTATGATTAATAAATGTCAACGTGACATCCATCCTGACAAAAGTCTGATGGGAAGTTTGCAATAAATGACTGAAAATGGAAATTTTTTGACTACTGTTCTGTGATCTAAATTATTCTGTGCCTCAGGGAGGCTAGTTTCTACGATTTTTTAATAAATTAGGAAATTACTTTTAAGACTCTACATATCATCCATCTAGAAAAATCCTATTTACAGCTTCCTTTATCACATAATATTCTTTTTAATAAAAACTTTTTTCTTTACTACCATTGATTATAAACCACTACCAGTGGTTTAGTGGTAGTGGTTTATAATCAATGTTACTACGGAATAAAACCATTATAGTTTATATTCTCTAAGAAATTATTTAAAACCCATAAATTAGAAATTATTTCGCATTTCAAAATTTCCAAGAAATTCTGAACGAAATTTTAATTTCAAACATTGCTAAAATTATACAAATTTGTTGGTGTTATGTGGTTAGAAGATTTGGATGGTAATTTTTGAAGAATATGCTTTAAAATTAAAAGGTAATGAAATCTCCTATAAATAATATAGAATTTCAAGATGTACTTAGCTCACTGTACATCAAAGACATTAAACAAGAAAGAAGAACAGTATCACACGTGGTGATTGGTGATAACTGACTACTGACATGGGGGCGATGTGGCTGGATAAGCAAAAAATATTAACCACAAAAAAGTGTAAACAATCAAACCAAAGTATTTGTTTAATTCAGTTTAATTTTTGTCAGCTTTTACTAGAAAAAAAGTCGAAAAATGGTCGTATGTAGATATTTCCTTCAGGGTTCCTGTAAATTCGGCTCATCGTGTAGATTTGAGCATGAAATAAATGGTATTTAATAATGTAAAATAAAAGTGTATATTATTCACATTAAGATATTTTAGGTACTTCCAACTCTTATCAAAATTCTGGCGGATCATCTATATTACGTAGTTCTAATTTTAATACTCCCCAAATAGCTCAACCTAAACTGAATCCAGTGTTTGCACAAGAAAACAAATCAAATGTGGACAATGCTACTCTAGTAAAAACAGCAAGTACAGATATGACCCAGGCTGAAAAAGGTGGTCAGTGGCTGTTTTCAAGTTATACTCCGTTTAAAGAAAAACCTGCATTTCCTGGTTTTGAAGATCAGAGCTTTGAAGAAATCAGACTTGGTTTTTATGAAGCTCAAAAATCAGGCACATTAGAACAGTATGTAAGTAGTATCTTTTCTTGCTTTCACTGTTAATGCTTATTTAATGTTTAATAGCATTCTTTTTATATTGTGTAACGTTTTTTTAGTTATCCATTGGTTGTCTTTTTGCTGTGTTTGAAAAGCATCGTTCAATGCCAGTGTGTTTTATTATTAAAAGTTTTTTTACTATGTTTTAGAAACAACAAATTCAAGGAATGGTGCAAGAGGTTTTGGTTAAGGTGAGAGCCTTGCAAACTCCATCGCCAGATATAGTAAACATGCTTGTAGCTATATACAATACTCCAGCATCTCAACAAGCAGGGGTATTTTCAGGAAATTCACTGACAAATTCCAATACATCTAATTTTAGCTTTAAATCAGGATCAATTAGCCAACAGCCATTGTTTGCACAAGCCAACCAAAGTTCATTTGCAAATAACCAACAACAAAGTATATTTGGCAATTCACCTGGTAATAACATATTTGGAGGTAGCAATCAAAATGTCCAAAATACTACAAGTAATGTATTTCCATCAAATAATCAGAATAACACAAACAATATGTTTGGAGGTCAAACAAATAACATATTCCAAAGTCCTACATCTCAGATTCAGGCTCCAAGTAACAACATATTTGCTCAAGCTAATAATAATTTGATACAAAATAGTAATTCCATTTTTGGTGGTCAGCAACAAACTGCAAATGCATCCATATTTACTAACAAACCAGAACCAATTAATACTAATGTATTTACACAACAAAATCAACCAAACAATCTTTTTCAATCTGTGTCACAATCATCTAATATTTTTGGACAACAACCTCAGCCCCCTGTAAATAATGTATTTAATTCAAATCCCCAAATTATTCAACCTCAGTCAACATCAATATTTAATCAAGCACAACCACAATTTTCCAATCCTGTTATGTCTGCTCCAAAACCAGATATGTCTCAGCCACAGGCTTATAGTAATAGTATTTTTGGCAATACTCAAAGTGGAGGTAATATTACTCCTTTTGCTACCAAAGCTCCTTCACAAATAGATGCAAGTATTTACTCTAAATTAGAAGATTTAACTCAAGAGGAGATTATGTGGTTTGAAAGTAACGATTTGGATATTTCAAATATGCCATTAAAGCCACCTACTTACCAGATGTGCTTTGATTAACATTTCAAAAATTTTGTACAGCCGTGAAAGAAATATTGTTATTAAAAATCAGGTGTCAGTAGTGGCTATATAATATTATTTAAAGTGTTTCTAACTTGGCCTTTAAATATTTTTCTGGTCCTACCCCTTCAGGCCTTAAGCTTAACAGGGTGAATTAATACCGAAAATACAGAGGTTTATAGTGAAACAGTAAAAGTTTTAAAATATTTGTCCCTAATTTGGCTGAATGATGATAAAGCCACATTTTAAAGTTATTTTGGAATATATGGGGTGTCTCAATAAATTGTGGCATCCCAAAAGTATATTTCAATAGCTTAATCTGCAAAAAAGCCAACTCCATTTAGGCAAATTTTTCAGTATGAACATAAAACTGTTCAGTTCATGAATATATACTTACGATTAATTACTAAATCTTAATTTTTTTTCTTTTAATGCTTGGTGTTAATAATAATGTTTGGCTAAAACTTCTGTTTTGGCACCATAAAAGCAGTTAGCTTTTTTACATATTCGGTAAGAAATAGAAAAAAGGAGTTAGTCTGTTTTATTGAACATCTTTTAAAACAAATTAATATAAAGAAATAAAATTCAAAAGTATCAAGAAAAAATAAAATATTACAGTATAATAAACTTGGATTAAAAAAAAAGGTTTATTTATAAGGTAGATTATTATAGTAGGAATGATAATCAGTTGGGATGGAAGTTTTTAGATCTTGAAGATCCTGGGACTTTCTGATTGTTAATTATTTATCAGAATGTTCAGATTAGTCATTTTTTCATGCCATTGGGGAACTAACTTCTATTATTCTTTAAAATTTACTTTATAAAATATGTCACTATGTTCCATATATTTCAGGGATCTGATTTAATCTTGAAAAGAAAAATTAAAAATGTTTACTACCTTACCTGTCAAAGTGAAGAAACAAAATTTACCTTGAGATTCCCCTTCACTTTTCCAGGCCAAATGGATTTAAGAAATTTGACATCATTAAATGACTCAAAGAATGAATTTGCTAAATATTCAAGATAGTATGGTTTTGGATTTTTGCAAGCACTTCTGCAAATACCAAAGTATTCAGCAGATACATTAATAATTTTATTTCGAAGGTTTTTTTCAATGGAGGCATGCATCTCTATCTCTGTGTGTGGCCTACTTCAAGGTACTTCTGTTTAATAACGATGTTTTTGGTCATCTCCACATTTATCAAAGCATTTGAGGCATGTAGCGTTTCAATTTTAAGCTGCACATCCGTCGATGTAAATCACTACTTTTTTGTCTGTAGTGTCCAATATTTGTGGTAGAACTTTAATCTATAAGAAAGTATGAAATCACAGAAGCAAATTCTTCAGTGAAAACTCCACCCTCTATCTCATTCCATAAAAAGCAGTATACTTCCTTAGTTTTTAAATACAATGCACAATAATTATGCACATTAAGATTAGATTTGTAATACAGTGATGATACATTAGATTTTGGTGCTGATAGTAGAGCCTGAACATCAACTGCAAATACATAATCTTCTCAGTTTTTATGCTTTTCTTTTTCAGCATGAGCCTGCTCTTTTCTTATTGTATTCATTTTCTGATACAAAACCCAATTTAAATGACACGCATATTTTGCATGTATCTTTTTAAGGATGAAATAATGATATGTTTTCCGTATCTAAAGTGTTAGTAAATTTTGCCACCAATACATACAATACATTGTTTGTAGAACACCAGTCCGAAACATAATAATCATAAAGCAACTGTTTTGATAACAACCGTATAGGCACGATTCCATGTTTAAACTACTTTCTAACGGTTGGCGCAACACGGTTTTGGCGCTTTTACCGTAGTGGGGGTCTTATGCATGGAGGTAGCTTGTTTTTGGGCAGGCTATTTGAAAGGTTTATGATAAAAATTAGGAGTCAACAGTTTGTGAACTGATATATAGCTGGGTAAAGAAAGCAATACACAAATAAAACGATATTACGAGAAAAGTGGAGTTAGCTTGTTTGCAGATTAAGCCATTGATTTGTTTTTATAGGAGACCTGGTATTTTATTGCATTGGGGAAAAACAATGGTGGTCCTTTAAAATTAATAACATTTGTTACTGAGTGTGTGGTGCTTTATGAATTAGCTAATCAAAATTAAGATCTGTAATAAAGAATGAGAATAGTGAATTGCCAGAAAATGATCTCCACAAAACTTGCCATAAAAAAATTCATAATACCATATATCAAATGCATGCAAATATGGAACACTTCTAAATATAAGTGAAAAATTACTACAAAATTTACTATCTTTTAAAATATTTTTTATTTTAATTTTACATACTTTACATGGAAATTTTAACATTACTTGATTATAAATGTGTAGTCTCTACACACGAATCACTTTTCCTAAACATTAAAAACTAATATGAAACCTAAGCCAAAGACTAAATATTTACACTAATGAATAAGCATTAGGATATATATATATATATATATATATATATATATATATATATATATATATATATATATATAAAGGCTCAAAATGATTACAACAGCTAGTCAAAATTATGAGTATTACATCTATTTAATTTCAGAAAATTTGTCTCTGCTGGAACTTCCCGTGTTGGTTGTAATATTAAGCAATATTTCTTTCCCAAGTTTTTTAACTTCAATGTTTCAGGTAGCAATGTAACATTTTACTTGACTCCAAATTATCCCTATCGAATTGAGTTTACATTGATAGGGATAATACACATTAAATCTCCATAACTGTTTGATACATCAAATAGCTCTTTAAATAATCCTCAAAATATAAATCCTCAAACAGCATTGTACTCGTAGAAACAATTTGTGTTTTAGTAAGGTGGGTTTTTTTTTTATTTTTCATATTCTAAGCTACATATCGTCTTATAAATATCCTGTAAAGCCTGGATTTTTCAGATGGAATTGATCAGGTGAGCTAAGTATATTTTGTAGGTTTTGGCTAATTCTTTTTTCTGTAATTATTGAGTTCTACAAGTTGTATGAACTACTGTAACTATTGAAGTTTACAAGTGTATGTTTAGCAGATGTAATGCCACCTCAGTTTGCTCATGAAGGTAATTTTTAAGAAGTCTTCTATGGTCTATTCTTAGTCAGCAGATTGAACTTTTGTTTTTTCGTCTCATAGAAGGAAACACAAGCTTTTCAACGATGCGATAGATATCACGAAGCTTGGAAGGAATTTTCAAGTTATCTTGCCAAGACCTAAGATATTGTTCTGAAGCTATTTTCTTGTGGCATTTTAAATTAATTACTATTTAACTGGGAATAAGCCACAAAGATAAAAATACGTTTATTTTTATAAAAATGTTTAAACACGCATGGGATAATGAACATAGGGTTCAATGGAATAATTCGAATGTAGTCCTAAAAGAAACGGATGGTAAAAAAAGAAAAATCAAAGAAGCGGCTTTAATTATGCTAAATGAGGCCAATTGTGTCGCAAATTCCTCGGCAGAATGTAGTAGAATCTGGTTACCAATATTGAAAGAGGAAGTTATTAATTAGAAAATACCAGTATTAGTAAGTCAGTAACATATAGAGGATACATCATTTATGTTTTTTAAATAACGAAACATATAAAATCAGATTTTTGGTGTTTATTGAAGGTAAACTAAATGCTCGAACAAATACTTACCATGTCGAGATAGTATTATGAGGTTTTTTTCCTGGTTTTTCCCTCATAATTTACTATGGAATCACTAACTGAGAGAATTTTACTGTCATCATGTCATGTGTTTGTCTTTTTAAAGACGAATTATATGCTATGATTTTTTTCTGACGGATATTCTCAAGTTAAAGTTGACTTCATGTAATCGAATGGACTATCTTATAAGTAAAGTTGTCCCAGGAGCGCAATTCAACAATATTGGCAATATCATTTTAAAGTCGTCTACTTTAAAATGGATAATGTATGTCTGAATTGTCAATATAAATGAGTCAGATAAAATTAAATTATTAGAAGAATTTTTCAATATGTAACAAAAAACAAAATTTGTTTTATTTACTGTTTGTATTTTGAGAACGATTTCCGAAGTGGAAATTGAAACGTCAATAAACGTATTTTTATCTTTAATTGTGGCTTATTCCCAGTTAAATAGTAATTAAGACTTAAATTGGTATTTGTAAAAAGACTAATATGGTAAATGGATATGAAATATGGCAAAACCCTGTAATTTTTCATGTCGCCACCGAATTACATGAAAATTGGGATTTAGGTTCTACTTACCACCCACTTCACTTTTGAACTTATGCCGTTACTTTTTACTTTTTAGGGGGTGAAAACTACCGTTATTAGAAAAAATTGTATAATTGTAAATTAAAGCGGATAATTGATTTAAATCATCTTTTAATGAAGTAAATGAATGTCAATTAACATTAAACAACATAATTTAACATTTTATTACAGTTTAACCCCTAAATCTCACCTCTAGATTAGTTATAATTAAAACAATGTCATTGAATACCTTATTCTCCACTGATGTGGATTAGGTTATACTTACCCTACACTTTAAAATTGGATTTGTGTCGTTGGTTGCTTTTTATTTTTTAGGGGTGAAAACGAGCCCTATTGGAAAAAAATAATATAATTGTATATTCAAGCAAATTATTTAATTATACCGTGACATTAAATTTAGATTTCTGTACTGTTTTAATTTTTTACTACATAATTTCTACTCTTTTAAAAACCATCACATTTTTTAAAATTAAACTATAAATACAATATTTTTTCAATGCTAAAAATTAAGGCTTAGTTTATAGAACTTTCCTGTATCTGACATCTTTTAGTTTTTAATACATATAAAAATAACCTACTGAGGCCTGATGATGGGGCAAATATTGTGAGCCATGAAACCGGTAGCCCAAAATTTACCAACTTTATCATCATTTATATAATATTAAATTTGATTATAATTCTTTCTTTATCGGTGTATGTAATAAAAAAGTGGATTTTAAAAAATATTTGCCGATCATTTTTGAAAATTTTATACGCTATAACCACTTCCACTACTGACTCTAATCTTTTGTGCATTGCTCAGAAACGACATGGTCCAAATCCCGAAGTAAATTTATGGATTTTTTCTGATCCTATGCTCCAAATTTTTACCCGGAGTGTTTCTGTATTAGATTTTGTTTGTACGATTTAAAATTTAAAAAGCTTTTGCAATGGAATTACTTACAGCTTAAATTTTTATTGGTTATAAGTCGTACTTTGTAATAACATGCATGAAAGATTACTAGTTATATTTTATCCCATTCTTATGTCGTATTGCGTCCTATTAAGAAAACTTTTCATAATATGCTAAAGTAACTTTAAAACTTTATTGATTTTTATTTGGAGAAAATGTTTTGTTATATTTGTTTTTCTATTTAATAATTTATTTAAACTTTTACTTTATTAAAATAAAGTAGAAACATATTTCTACTTTATTTTAATAAAGTAGATTATGAATATAATGCTGTAATACTCTTCATCCTTTTTCATAATTTCATTGCAATATTTTATTAATGCTGATGTTTTTTTGGGCTTTTTTACTTTTTATTAATTTTATGTAATTTGTGATATTTGATACGAAACTTTTATACTGCATGCACCTTGTAACAAGAAAAACGAGATCTCATTTTCATGTCAATATGACCATGTCAAAGAAATTACTAATTGATTTCCATTATGTAGGTATTAAATTATTTTTACGATCGTTGAATGAAATTATTTTTAATTATTTTGTTTAAAATGTACAGTTTACAATTAGTGATAGGCTGTGACTATATTTTAATAATATTGTATTATTCTTAATAAAATATACATGGCGTGTAATTTTTTATTAAAATAATAAATATAAACTCATTTGTCGACGATAGACCTTGTTCTTCACCATCCACAGTTAATAGAATAAATGAAAAAGGCCCAGAAATAACCAAATAAAAAGTGATTCACGCAGTAAAATCTCAGAAAGATTGAAAAGCCACCGATCCAGACAATATCAATGTCGAAATACTAAAACTAATTGCAGATAACGTAAGTAAAAGCCTAGACTTAATAACTGGCAACACTGTAAGTCTGAGTACTTGTAGTTCGCTGGAATGCTAACCGATGAATCCGAATTGTGCTTCAGGAATTAATTCTAGTCTGGTTTGGAGGACGCACTCTACTAACTTGATGGCTGGTGGAAGTCTGCTGTAGTTTTGCGGAAATGTATTGTTTTTTTAAGGCTTTGGTGTCATGATTACATGGGCTTTCTTTTATCGACTTGGGAAGAGACTGCATCTTAGTATTGCGTTTGTTATATTTTTAAATATACAATTGATTTCGCAGGAAAATATTTCAGAGCCCTGTTAGTGATACCATCTTGACCAGGTGCTTTCTTTGATGAACAGTTCACTTTTTTTTCTGGGTGGTGTAGGATTTATTTTTCTTGTTCTTTGGAGGTTTCTTTTTATGTTTCTTCGTGCCTGTCCTTTTTTGGTAGGAGAAGAGAAGTCTTCTTCTTTAATCTTTTATTCATTCTTCCAATCACCAATTCACTTTATTACCGAATTTAGCAATTCACAAACTTTTTTGTTGAGTTTGTCTATTTTTTTCTTTGAGATGCTTTATTTCTTCATCCTTTTTCTTTAGTTGCTTTTTCTTTTCTGCAACTAAATATTCATCCTCATTTAGCCTTTGCCGTTTGATCTCTTTGCCATATTCTTAATTACTTTAGTTTTTTCTTTTTAGACTTAGTTTTTGGTGCTTTGAAGGAACCATTTGAGATTTCTCACGGTAAGGTACCACAATTAGATTTAACACAAAAAAAAACAACAGAAACGTTAAAATAAATGTTAGGCCTTACCAAATGGTTCTCGTTATAGTGGTTTTCTTTTTCTCCTCTATCTGGCACTTCTCTACTCTGTAATACTTTCCCCACATTTCCACGGTACCCTCTCGGCAGTAGGTATTAGCGGCTTTTTCATCAAAAACAAAGTCACTACCTCCAAGAGATTTACTATTGACACTAAGCACGCACTCAGTATTTATAAAAGAGTCTAAGAAAACTGATTATGGCTCTATAATTTTGAGCTTTAGTGCCTTTATTGTGAACATGATGTTGCTAGGTAGTAGGGATGGTACAGAATAGCATTTTTCGGTAATAGGTTGGAACTGAACCTATTCCAGAAACCTAATTTGAGTTTCTGATTCTGACGTGAAAACACTTCATATTGATCACCGATTATCGCTAGCTTGTTCCTAGTTGTGCTACAACTGTTGTGTTGCGTTGCATCGACCGAATTCAAACGATCGAACTAGGAGTTATTTTAGGATTTATATTTCTTAACATTTTTTTTTCTACAATTCGTAATCGAGGTTTATTTAGAATTCATTTATGCAAATGGAAAATAAAGACACTAAGTTATTACAGAAGATCGATTAGATTAGATTTTAGTTATAAAAATCAAAACAAAATGCGAAAAGTTAAAATTATAACAGTTTAAGACGCTTTTGGACATGACAAGTATACTTGCCATGAATTAAAAATCTATTGCAGCCGTACCGACCTGAAATTCTTTTAAACCCATCACGTTTAACAGAATATTTCTTGTAACTAAGGCGACGATGTTGGAATCGAAACGAACGCTGCCGATGCGTTCTCTAATCTCTACGTTGCGCTTAACTAATATCTAAAACCTATTCCGAGTAACCAGTTTCATTGTAAATTTCATGACCGGCCGATGCGCAAAGTGTACATAATTAAACACATTAAATATAATCTCCCGAGATTGTCCACTAATAACAGAATTATTCTTTCTACTATTTTTCAACGCCATCGTTAGAAATTGTCACAAATACACTTAAATATACAAAATATTAAGAAGTCTGAAAAATAATAGCCGCAAATCACTTAAGTGTTACGCACCTGATAACTGGGAGGAGACTAAAGACCACCACCTAAGCCACTGCCACTAAGCAATTTTGGGTTTGTGCGCACCGCCAAGATAGCAGGCGATGATAGTACTCAACTAATGCGGCGCCGTTGGAATCGAAACCGATGCCGTCTACGTTTTATCATTGGTGCATGGAATAGACGGTTGAAACCTAGGCCCGGCGCAAATTGAGCACATCCCAAGCGCAGCACATGCGTGGGTTATTTTGTAAAACGTGGTTTTAGACGGAGCGACGCATATTAAACCCAAACCACGGCCAGACTTGGTTGGCGTGGATAGAGTTGTGCTGGCAACAGTTTCGTGGGTCTCTACCTAACCTTAGTTATGAACTGAACAAAGAGTTCCAAAACGTAAAAAAATAAAATCGGTAGACTGTGGCGTAATATCGGTAGATCTTACAAAATATGTATTATATTTTGTTTAAATTTCATGTTTTGCAATTCATTTATTTAAGAAAAAATAAAATATGTTTTAAAAACGTGTAAAAAAACGGACTGAAATTTAAATCTTTAAATTAGTCTGTGACTAGTAATCGAATACTTATCCGAGAACCGAAACCTCGAGTATAAAACCCTTTTACAAGGAAATATTATACAACAAACAGACTAGAGTTTTTACGTGAGGTGCACTCGGAAGCTTATATTAATAATTATGCGTTGTTCCGGTTTTTAGTTTCCTAACTTGACAAATTCCCAGAACCAAGCGGTCGGGATCACAATGGATTTGGATTCATCTATTATTGTATTATTAGCTTTTATGAGATCATGTACTTTGTAAAGTACCGCTTAGGTATCATTTAAGAATAAATACTGCAAACACTGCAAAGAAAACAAATATTTGACATACACTTGGCGTGGGCTGTGTTCAATATGCGTTATTATTGAAAAACGTGCACTTGGACTAGGTTGGACCATACGTGGGATGTGCATGGGCTGTGGTCAATTTGCGGCGGGCCCTATTCCGAGGTATGAGCTCCAGTTACATCATGCCATCCCTACTAGGTATATATAAAGTAAATAGGCTGCGGTGGTTAGGCTACATAAAAAATGAACGAGATGAAGCCGCTGTAGCACATTTATTTATAACCAAAAAACGGATGGAGTGAGGAAAAGCAGGCCCACAGCACAATTTAAGGAAAATGTGGAGGAAGATTTATAAGAGTACGAAATTGTAACCCAAGGCAAAGAATAGGAAGGAATAAAACGTGATCTTGGAGTAGGCCGAGATCCACTAATAAGTCTACTATCTGAGTCACTGTATGTGAATTTCGTAGTAATATTGGAAAAATGAGCATGATTTGAGTTTTTTGATAATAAATATTATACAAAATGATCCCTCCAAAACTTGCTAACCGAATTAGATAAACAAAAAATGGACACAATCGCCATACTAGAAATCAGATGCAGTGGTTAGAAATTTAATAGACAAAAGAAATCATACGATTTTAACAGCTGTGATCTCAAAAGGGCATATTTTAAGTACAATATTCACAGTAAATAAGAGAATGAAGCAATTAGCTCTAGAAAGTGCATTCTAAGATTTTTTATATTGATGGCTTTGGTTAGGACCAATTAGCCAGGCTTGGTTGTATTTATGAATTGACTGTTTATTAGTGTTAGTAAGTTAGTTTTACTAGGACCGTTTGTTATTGAACTCATGAACAATTGAATTGTAATGGCAATAGGTTAATAAACTGAACAACAACTTGGTCACAGCCAGTATATATTTTGAACAAAAAATATACACAAGGGCACCTGTGCATTTGAAATCACTATAAACATACATATCAGAAGAGGTATGAGAAACAACAATCTAACATAAACGTACATACCAGAAGAGAAATGATTTAAATATGAATGATACAATATAGAGGGGCTGAAAGATGAAAACAAAAATGGTTGTATATGAGTTACATATACTCGTTATGTATCAATTTTTAGATTAAAGAGTGATGTAATCATGTGCTTTATTTAAATAATGTTTAACTATCTCAACTGTAAGAAAATGCAAATAAAACAAAATAAATTTCTCAACATTTTATTACAAGTTATGAAAACTTAGCATTACTGTTGTTGGTTCATAAGTTCTAGCTGAGCAGCGGCAATAGTCTTCATACCCTCTTGAACAGAACTTAGATTTCCCCTCCAAGAGTGCAGTAGGTCCCGCAGTTGTTGCCATTGTGCCCTTCCAAAAGTTCTGTGCATTGTGCTGGACACAAAAACTTTTCGGGAAGATTGATCCATCCTTGCACGAACTAACTTGGTTTTTAATACTAAAAAATTAAAAAGTATAGAAGAAAAACGGTACTACAGTATTGTGCGAATTAATGTGAACAGAGATCGAAATTCAGTTTTCATAAGTTGGCACAGCTGCTGTACCTATTATGTCAACTGTTTTGTGAAAAAAACAACATAATCTCAAAACCTTATTAGTATATTATTTAAAACACGTGCTTTGTGTTTTATATCATTATTATACTTTGTTATATCTCAGGTTGGTGTTATTTTCATTGATTTACCTGTGCAATCAGGTTTAACTTTTTAATATGGATATCACTCCTAGGAAAAGAGAAAGGATCATAACACTTAGTGAGCATACACCAATGACTCAGAGGGATATTGCAAAGGAATGTTGTGTAAGTTTGGGTGCAGTAAACAAAAAAGGCAACAGGGTCAGTTGAAGTGCAGGAAAGGAAAATGTGGAAGAAAACGGAAGACTACTCCTCGACTACTTCATCCCAGAAAAATTAAAAATGACCTCCAGCAAGATTTAGCAAAGGCTGGAATAAAAATTCAGGACTCATCGGTACCCAGACGTCTCTTAGAAGGAGGGAGAGAAGAGCCGTGAGACCGCAGAAGAAAGAACTTCTGACAACGCCTATGATGAAAAAAAGAGTAATTGGACAAAAAATATGCTCATTTGAGTGCAGAAGATTGAAGAAAAGTGTTATTTTCTGATGAGACCCGCTTCCTAGTGCAGGGCCAGCGATCAAAATTCGTACGAAAGGGAGCCAATGAGTCACTTTCAGCTAGCCATATTAACCAAACAGTTAAACATCCCACCAAAAAAATGTTCTAGGGCTGTTTTTCATACTCAGGAACTGGCACTCTTATACCTATTGAAGGTATGATGAACAGTGAAAAGTACAAAGCCATGCTAGGGCAACGCTTAGCTATAGAGCTTGACAAAGTACAGACCGAAGGGACTGCAATTTTTCAACAAGATTCAGCTCCGTGCCATGTATGGAAGATTATTATGAAATACTTAAGGATAACTCTTCTTGATTGACCTGGGAATTCACCTGACAATCCTATTGAAAATTTGTGGGCACTATGTAAGGATAAACTGCAAAAATTTAACTGTATGACAAAAACAAAAATTGTGGAAGCAGTGATTAAGGTGTGGAGGAAGATGAAGCAATCACAAAACTTGTGGATTTCATGCCTAGAAGATTCCAGAAAGTCATAAAAATAAAAGGGGAACATATTAAATACTAATCAATGAAAAAATCTCATGTAAGTGTTCCTAAATTTACCTTTGGAATAAATAAATCATATTTACAAATTAATTCTGTTTGTTTGCATTAATTCACACAATACTGTATATTATGTATTTCGTTTTTTTTAAATTTATTTAAAAAAATCTATTGGAAACTTCATTTCACAATTTCAGTATCTAATAATAAATATAATATTCGATCATAATTTCTTCAGTAAAAAAGAGTGAAAAACAAAACTTAATTTGCTTGACTGAAGTATTTAATTTGATTTTCTTAAGAGACTGATAAAAAATGTGAATTTTCAAGATTGAGATTAGTCATTATTGAGATTATATTATATATAGATATACAATATCTAGACAACTGGATGAAATCAAAGAATACAAGGTCGAAAAATTTAACAATGTCAATTTTCAGTGATTAAATATGAGATATAAATAAAGGTGAGAGTACTAGATAAACAAAACACATGCATAAATATCCATTTCAGTTAACAATATTAACATACATGACAGAAATTTTTTACTCATTGCTCAAGCCAATTATATGTTTAAATCACTAAAGGAATGCATTCAATGCTAAATAATGTTTAAATACCTTCAATAATAAAGCTTTCAACTTCGTCTGGTTTCATCTGTAACTCCTTTTCAATAACATCAAAAGATATTTCAGGATTACTCTCAGCAAGCTGCATGAAGGAAAGCAGTCTCATTTTTTGCATATTCTGTTCATGATTTAATCCTAAAAATAAAATTTTATAATCAGAAATCATATTATCAAACAATGACTATACTAAAAATAATTAGCGCCATTTTTCTCTTGATAGTTTTGGATATGTCACAAAGAAAGTAAGTATTTAGTTTTCAGTTTGAGTTTACAATTAGTTGGGTCTCAATTTTGACATAAAATTTTAATTTCATATGTATATCAATTTAAACCATAAATGATGTATTGCCTATGTTAAAGGAGGAAAATTTAAACTATTTTTTTTTCCGGTAACAGAACAATTTTTTAGCAATTGGGGTTAATCCATGTTACTGTCCTTTTAAAAGGCAATCGATCTATTTCCGTTATATTGATAACTTAACTTACCGTTGATAGATAGAGCCTGTGTGATTTACTGTCAAACATTAAGGTATTTCATCAGTCGCTCGCTTTAAAAGTTTGCTTATGTACTGGCATAGCATTGTTTTGTTTTTTTTTTTAATTAAACATGGATATTGCTAATTGAAGGTAAGTTTTTTTTAATTACAGATCAAACTTGGACGTTTTACATGATTTGATAGTCATTACTGTAGTTATATTGCTTATAGTGGAAATATTGGTTTGACTTTTTTGTTATTTTCTTGTGTATGGCAATTTTTGTTTTGTTCTTTTAAACGGACAGTAGTAATAAGTACTACAAAATGATTATTTTTTAGGGTACCGTTAAAATTGCAGAACTTCAGACAGATTCTGATTTAAGAGACAAGGATGTCACAACGATAGATCATTTAAAGATCATGGAAAGGTATTCTCCGTCTAGGTTATATTATATGGTTTACATAGTATCAGAACAACTCAATGCCAATACCAGCCTCATACAAAAACTTGGGTCTTGGTTCGTCAGTTGTTCTGTCTTATGCAGATGTGCTTCAATCATGCTGGCCAGAAGCGAGATTCCACCGTTTTTGATGACTTCTTCTTATTCATGTATCTACTAAATGAGTTAAAAACTAGAAGTCATTTCGGTACAGGTACAATAAGGGAGAATAAAACACTAAAATGCCCCCTATTCACTCTAACAGCTTAAAAAAAAGGAAAGAGACATTTTTGTTTCTCAACCAAATATTATAACGCAATACAATGTTTTATGGGTGGTATAGACCGCTGCGACCAAAACATTAGTCTTTACCGGATCTCTATAAGAGGAAAAACATGGTACTTTCTGCTTATAGTACATGGAATTGACATGGCTATTCAAAACGCGTGACAATTGGACCAAAAATATGAAGGAACTCTTGATCAGCTTGAATTTAGAAGGCAAACCTGCAACAAGGCTACCAAATGTGGCCCAACAAGACAGAACCCCAACAGTCTTGCATTCAAGATATAATGGTATGAACAATTAAATTGTTTATCAGGAAAAACAATCTTGTTGCAGGCTTTGCAAGAAAAATATAAAATGCCATTACACCCAAAAGAATGTTTTAAGGATATTCATACTTTGTAGTTTTGTATTAATAAAGTTTTACTTTCTAATATATACTGCTTTCAACTGCTGCCCTTTTAAAAAAACATGACATATTTTGACAGCTAGTGCAAAAATTAACATTTTAGTATTTTTTGTCGATTAATAAGACATTTCCTTTAAGTAAAGATATAATTTAAAAACAAACAATAGTTTTAGTAATATGTGAGTTAAGGTACTAGTACTGATTAAATATCTAAAAAAATGCATATTTTTAAAAGAAATTTTCTCAGTACCTTTATTAGATACAAAAATAAAATATTAGAATTGAACATGATTTTTAAATATTATTATATCTTTGAATTAAACAAAAAAAAAATTTAGTTCCTATGTAGTAAAAAGGGTCCGCTAGAGGGTGTTTCAGTTAAAGTCTCAAAAATGGGTGTAAGATAGCGGACACCAATTCTCAGGATTGGCGCATCTGAAACACATCTAACTTTTTAAAAAAAAAGTCAAACTATTAATTTTAAAATGCAAAATTTGTAAAAAAATCATTTTTTTTAAACTTTTTACCAAGGGTGCTTTCTTTCAGTAATTCTGTTGGAATTTTTGGTTTAACATGTATCAATGCTGAGAATTAGTGTCAGCCATGGGACACCTTTTTTGAGATATTAACTTATAACCCTATAGAAAATGGACTATTCATGGGAATTAAAAACAAAAAAAGTTTTGTTTAACGTAACATTTAATTTTAACATAAGATAATATTTAAAAAAAAAATCATGTTCGTATCTGATAGCTGAGAAAAATGTGTGAATCACATTCCATAAAGGAGCTGAGATTTTATTGAATAAAAACTAAAAATCCAATGCCTGAGAGGGTAAAAGGATATGAGAAGAAGAAGGCAAATAGAAACTAAAAGATATTATTTAACATTTTTATGATGTAGGAGTTAAAATCTTACCTTGTGCACTCACAAATTCCTTATGTTCCTTGTAAAACTTGAGATAGGTGGACAAATTTTCACTAACAAAAATGTTTAAAAGGTCATGTATTAAATCACCCTCCAAAAATCTGACAGGTTTTAGTGATAATAATGGATCAAGAAGGAATGTGTTAGGATCAGCTAATGCTGATACAATGCAACGAATGGCATCTTCTCTAGCATGTGAAGCATTTTTGTCAGTGTATGTACCAAGAAGTTCAATCATTACTAAAGCAGCCTGTTCACTAAAATTGAGAATGATAATAAGAATTCCATTTATTGCTACTTTCATCATGTTTGTTTTTAACTTTGATTTTGTTTGCAAAATAAAGAAAATACAATAGATATTCTCACACTAATTACCTACCTTTGATTTGATTTAACCAGTACTTCATGCAAAAGCCTGTAAAGCTTTTGAAGCTGTTCATTAGATGGAAGGCAATTAGCAAACTGTTGCTTTAGATGGTTGATATCTTGAAACACTAATTTTACAGATTCTGTTTGTTTCGCAATTTGTATTAAATGGTAATATACAGGATAACGCATTGGAGAACGGTCATCCAATGATTGGAAGAGTAACCATAATCTAAGGATAAAATAAGATTATAACACAATCTTATTCATATATAATTTAAATGAATATTATATAATTCAAATTCATCATTGATACTTACGCTCTGAGACATACTAAACCTAATTTTTGGCCCTGTGCTTTTGTGAGTTTTTCACAAAAGGCCAGGATGATGTTTTCTGATCTTTCCAATGGAATCTAAAAACAGTATTTATTTCTTACAAGAACGTAAATTTTAAAAGAAAAAACTTACCAAAACCATTATGGAAACTATGTCATTTAACACCATTTCCACATCATTTTCTTGGCCTTCTTTAAAACACGAATCACATACTCCAATAATTTTATGTAAATCATCTTCTATACCCTTCGCAGACTTTTCTTCAGAAATTTCAGCGCCAAGACTTTTTAAATACACCCTAAGTTCTTGGGCCTGTAACAAAATATAACCTCAAAAACCGTATGTGATATTTTTTCTCTGTTATTAATAGTTTTAAGTAAAAATTACCTGGTCTTCTAGAGACATATCGATAAATACTGGAGGCACTTGCATTGTGAAATTTGTGTTTCACTTTATATAAAATATATTTATCTGTTAAGTAGCCACACTGGCCATAAACGAAAGAAAAGAAAACTGTCAGTTGTCGTTGTCATTACTTTGACGTTGAGTCTGAGTCTTTCTTGTTCTTGTCCTTTACGTTGTGGGTATACAGTTTCACGTAAATATTTCATTATACTTGTAAATTTTTGGTTATTAGTTTTTTATATAATTTTATCGCATTGTTTAATACTGGTGCATTTAAGTCATAATGTGTTTTAGATAAATAATTTCTCGAGTAAACTGTTAAAAATTTCGGTCAAACAATCGAAATCTCATACAAAATTGCGCTTGGCGATTGTTGAAATTTAATTTCGGCTATCGTGATTTTCCGAATCTGAACGAGTTAGACACCAAATTCATTGTTTCTTTGTTCAAAAATTAGAGTTTTTTAATATATTTTATAAAAAATAGATATTATTCTATATGAAAAACTTGTTTTGTGATGATATGAAGTGTTAAAAGTGATTTACATTTATATTACATTCATATATTCATTAAAATTATTCAACTGAGCATCCCCATTTACTGTCACTACTGTGTACTCCATCAGCTGTAATCTATTTTGAACCACTATTTTCCGAAATTCCAAACGTCCCCGGCATTGTCATTATAATTTGTTGTGTTGTTTAAGTATTATTGCATTTAGTGTTTCAACATGTTCAGCTGCTTTTGCCTTAATATCCTTATTGAGACTGGTTCAAATGACATTCAAAAGGTTACCACAGAATCTCTGAATTTAGCTGAAGAAAAGAAACAGGATGGATTTTTTGAACAAGTATGACAATATTTATTTCTTTTACAAATGTTTATGATGATAAGCATGACTATTTTAGGTTAAGTGAATATTAATATTTGTCTAAATATAGCACATTAATAGGATTACAAACACTGCTTTTAAGTTAGCTAGCTTAACAATATTTTAGATCAAATTTAACTAATATAGTAATTTCTTTTATATTTGTACCAAACATTTTTTGATTGCTTTATCCCTTCATTGAGTCTTAACAATTATATCTATTAACCCATTGCTTGTTGCTTGACAATTATAGATCTGTACCTACTCAAAATAGTGAAAATATTTTTATTATATGAGCTATCACATAGCCAACATAATATCTTTTTAAAAATTTATTTTTGTTCCTTTGAAAATTTGTTGTTAAAAAATTTAAAAATACAATCAATATAATAAAAATTACTTAGATATATTTTTGTTTAGCAGGTGTGTGGCTAAGCATTGAAAATATGGCAAAAAAAACACTAAACTCTATTCTAACTCTAATATTATTTCTTCAATATTTAATTATAAATGTTTTTTTATGTTCAACAAGTTTGTACTATGATGTATTTGGAAACATCTTATTTTGCTCTATTTTTTATGTTGTGCACAAGTAATTCTCATATTAGTTTCATGTGACACCAAGGTAACTAGTTTTTTTGGCAATTTTAATAATGAACAAAAATAGTTGTTATACTTGTGGACATGATGTTAAATTTTTAAATAATATTTAAAAAATTGTTATCATTGTTATACTTTTATTTAATAATTTTACATATACCAAGGTAATAGAATTTATTTATTTGGATTTTTTTGAATTGTTGTCTCAAGGTGTTCAAAAACAAAACAGTATTCAAATAAACTGCCAAAATATTGTCTAAAATTTTATAGTAGGTATCTAGAAATTGTATTCATAATCAATTTGGTTATTCTCCTATATTGATAATTTCATGGTTTATCAATTATTATCTGGAATGATTTTTAGAGTAGTATCTTTTTAAACAGTTGATTACTTTGAGGGTAGGTGGGTGGTACAAGTTTTGGTTTCGTTTATGGGAATGTTTTTATTAAATCATCTCAAAATGTCTTTTTTATTAATAATTTAGTTAACTTATTACATGAATCTGAAAAAGTAATATATTTTGGCTGAAATGTTTCTGATTTATTTCTAATTCCATCATTTTAGCCATCTAAATTTTTTAATTCTTCATTTTTTCCAATATTTTCTTTTTCACTACTTAATGGAACATATCTAGAAAATATTCCCACAAAAATAAAATATAAGGTATGTTTCCCCAATATTTGAACTCAGTTTTTCAACCAAAATATTAACAAATAAATCCCTTGGTCACGAGCAAAACACTGAGTACAAATATGACAAAAACACCACAGTATAGTGGAGATATATGTAGATGTAGATGGTGTAGTCTCAATTTGGCTTCATAGACCAGAAGCACTGAATAATTTTTTGCTGATTTTGATAAACATCACTTATAAAGAAGAGTCAATTAAATTCACCATGGAAAAATAACACAACAGCTTACTTTCTGGATGTGTTAATTACAAAGGGGGTCACAGGATAAGTTATCAAATAATAGGATAGAGCCCAAAACACATTTTACAATAAAAATGCATTCCAAGAAGAAAAACCTGCCACCAATGGTTTTAACAAAGAATGGTTATTCATTTTCATTTATAAACAATGAATTTCACCAGATTGAAGAAATTAAACAGCAAAACACCACAAAAAATCAAAAACACTTAAAAGAAGGGACTCAAAGATGATAACAATACCATATGTAAAGGGCTATCAGAAAAATTAAAAAAGATAGGAAATAAGTACCCAAAAACATTCAAAACAACCAATACACTTAGATCTATTCTGTTTAAACCAAACCAAACAACACACAAGATCAAAGAACTGCATCTATCAAATAACTTGTGAATACAACAATTTTTATGCAGGAGAACTCTCAAGAGTACTAAGGGCCAGTTGTTGAATGCATAGAACCAGTCACCAATTTACCAGCCAAGTTGATATTAATTTGATATAATTTATAGCTTTTTTTGAAAATGATTTCTGGATTGGAAATTGGAACAGCAAAAACGAATGTAAATGTAATTTTCATTACAATCAATTGTGGTTTAATTAATAATTAATTAATAAATAATTAATAATTTATCCCTCAACTGGCGTCGTGGTTTATTCTGCGTCCTGGGTTCTACCATACCCATTCTTTTTGTTTTTTGTGAAATTAATAAAGATATAATTCATTATTTCGTTATAATTATATAAAGTAACTAAAATATATAAACTCTCTAATTAAAATATATTATTATCAAAAAAACTGCAAACTAGTTACAAGTGATATTTTTCTAAATGCAATTCTTGCAAATATATGCCCTGCAGTTGCCACACATGGGCCAGGAACATTTGCTGCACAAGATTTTTGTTTTTTGTCATTCTTTCAACCACAGATCCATCTCTTTCGTTTCTGGTTCTGATTATTTATATCTCCCCTATCTGCTTAAAGTACTTAAAGCCTTCTTTAGTATTCTACTGATACCCATGCAAAGCTACCTATGTAATTGAAAATTGTAGTCTTATATTGAGAAGTAGTTCTGCAAGTTGTCTTGCAAGAATTTTGTAAAAGGCTTTTCACTCTATGGCTTAGTTGTTTTTATAACATCCATGTAAACTGTGTGCGTTTACACCTGCAATATTTAATATTGTAAAAAAATAGTCATTAGCCATTGCCTAGTTCGCCAGTTAGTAGAATATGTGGTAAATTTTTGATCTAGTACATCCACACCGCCTTTTGTAAGATTACAGTAGCAATTGATTTTGGGTTTACCAGATTTTATGTTTTCACATTCGGTATGATGCCTTGATGATATTAACATAACTGCTAACCTTAGTGTAGGATTCGTTCTTCATACTCTCCTGAGTATGCCTAGTCTACGCCGAACGCCTACCTGCTAAATCAGACCCTCCTCTGTCATCCAGCGATTCGGAAGCGGAATGGCTGCTATAAGGCGGGCATTATTCTGATGCACTACCTTCATTCATCCACAAACTGTCAGCAAGGAGGCTCCCTGTCTCATTCAGTGCTTGCCTTACTGAACTTGTGTGATAAGAGATGGGATGGGATAAGAGATGGGATGGGAGATGTGATAAGACATGTTAGTTTCTGATTGTCAGTCACTGTGTTCACGTCAGCAATAAGAGGAAGAATTGAATGGCCATCACGGTCACCTGACCACAAAACAACCACAGACAACAACACAAATATGTTATATTGAGCAACAACCCAGAATTCTTTGATAAAACCTCAAAAACCGTAAATAAGTGGCTGTATTAGCTGTATTGAGGAAAGTGGCCTGCAGTTTGAACTCAAACAGTAACTTTAAAGCCATAATTACTTTAAAGCCATAATAAACTATCTTTCTGTATAGTTTTCTTCTTTTTGTTGGGTTTGCAAATTGGTTATCTGAGTAATGCCCACCACTTTATATCATGTTAGTGAAGTTATCAATCTGTGAATCGATCTGTTATATAAATCATTCTTTTGATTTTTAAATTGGAAATTTACTTTGCAATATCTGAAAATAATTAAAAAATATTTAATTTTTGAATTAAATTAATTTACACAACAAGAAGTGTGTATGTTATTGAATACAAAATACATTTTACTGCTGTCAGAAAACAGAAAAAAATGTTTGTAATGTTAATTTGACAAATAAAAACTGCTTTTCGCTTAAATTAAATGTACAAATTGCCAATTGTATCGATGTATTGTAAATAGTACCGCCGTCTCTAATTCGTGTGTCTCGGACTGCATTTTCCAAGGATATGTTAAATAGGAGGCAAGCCATGGCATCCCCTTGTCTGAGTCCATCCTTTATCTCAAAGGATCGATAATTTTCTCCCTGTATACTAACGCTGACTTTTAAGTTAGACATTGTCATTCTCGTTAATCGGATAAGTTTTTTCTGGTATACCAAACTCATGCATTGATTGCAGTACTCTTCTCTTGACACTATAATATGTGGCCTTGAAGTCGACGAATAGGTGACGACTGAATGAATCTGGTCAATTTTTATTTTTCTGGAGTAGATCCGACCTGGTATTTTCCAACTAAAGCAACTGTTTAAACTCGTAGTTTTTTGTAGAGAATATTTGCTAGTATTTTGTAAGCAGTTGTTAACAGGGTTATTCCTCTGTAGTTGTCACACTGGAGTTGATCGCCTTTTGTATGCAATGGGCATATCACGCCTTGATACCATTCACAGGGCATGATCTCATTTTACCAGATTACAAGTAAAAGTTTTTATATTAAATGTTTCTACTTACTACTGTTATTTCTACTGGTACAGAAAACATAAAGAATCAAACTATTAATTATGGTTGGGTATAGAGATAAAACCAGAATATATGTACTTTAGTTAATATAAAATATCCTAATACGCTTATCACACAATCCACTGTTAGTAAAATTGAGAAGAAATTCAACACATGAAACATGCTGGTCTTTCACCAATCAATGATGATGTAAACCTTGATATATTATTAAGTATGAAACAGAATCCTCAAAAGCAATTCAAATTCAAGGCAAATTGCAGGTGATACAAACATTTCTAAAAGGTCGGTTTTACATGTACTAGAAATGAGACATATCCATATAAAATTCATAATGTCCAGGATATCAATGCTGATGATCCAAATATTTGAATGTAGTTTTGCGAAGTAATGTACTATTTATGCAATCAAAATCCACGCTTCATTAGTCAAATCTTTTTTTCTGATAAAGCAACCTTTTTTTACACGGAACAATGAATCAGCAGAACTGCATTGGAGTACAAAGAACATCATTGGATAACTGAGTTACACACTCACCACCCTCAAAAAGTAAAGTATGGATAAAGATAATCGAGGATAGAATTCTTCTCATGGCGCCTTTTCTTTCGAAGGTTGGCGTTCCAAATGGCAATTGTAGTTT